TAAACAACTTGACTACAATTATTTGAAACAAATAAAAAAAAAAGTATAGTTCATATATTTGCATAACCAGTAGGCATACAGGCTGACTCAAACTGTTCTAATAATATTAAATTAGATAGTTTGTCGTTTTACAGTGGCGTTGTTTCAATTATCACGCTTCATTAAATAAGCAACATATTTCAAATCTTTTATCAAATAGATAAAAATACTAATTTAAAAGGTGGGCGTCCAGAATCTAAGTATTGTTTGATGTCCTGATGCGCCATTGCCATTTGTTGCTAGAATATCAAGTTTCTCACAGCTTAATCCAACGTTGATATATGCTCCAACTTATTATTTAACATTTATTCTTAAAAGAAAACAAAATCAAATTACCAACGCTAGATAATATCCCGGTTTGAATTTAAACTAGTCACACCCACGTTCCCCTGTTGCCAATTAAAGAATGTGGTGTTTTGTTAATAGCGTGCAGCAAGGATAAAGGCAATTTGAATTCCACATATCTATGTATATACTGATAAACTATCGGACATTCATCTTTCACACGTGGGGGGTTGGATGGCCGAATGGTTAGCACGCGCGCGCTGTATCATACGGTCTGTCATTGAGTCAACTGGCGGGGTTTCGATTCCCCGGTTGTACGTGACAAGGAATAGGGTCGCCTGTCCAACCTCGTGGGTTTTCTCCGGGTCCTCCGGTTTCCTCCCACTGCTAAAGACACCTACGCGCAAGCGAATTATTGAAATAAAATTGAACCATTTGTTAGTCCCGAAATGACCTAGTCTGTGTCGAGTGGACGTTAAACCCCATTTCTCTCTCTCTTTCACACGTGACTTCTATTGAAAATGACGCATCGTGATTTTAACCAAATATTCTTGATAAGAACAAAACTATTTCTCCCCAGATATAGGCTACAATTCTCTGGCAAATATATGTTTAAGTCGAAATTTATGAGAATATACATGAATGTGTGACTAAACATTGGTAGTATTTTAATAGCAGTATAATAAAACTTTTACTTCAAATCAATGTACGTAGTATTAACATACCATGCCAGTATAATAAAACTTTCAATTCAAATCAATGTTCTTGAAGGCATGAATTGAAATTGATTTCCAATTGTATGGTCCGCGCTCATCAACAATTTATATCAAATTCCATTGCGACTAGAATATACTTGGTTTGAAGACGAGCAAAATAATTGCAAGTCGTTTTTTTTTTATTGTTGTGTTTTCTATAGGAAAGTCAGATATAAAAAAACGAGTTGCGTATTCAATAATTTGTATAATTATCACAGGAGTTGATTTGACTAGTCCCAAATTAAAAAGAAATGTTTAGCGAAGATTTAGTAATGTTATTCACTTTATTTTCAAAACGATCCAAATAAATTACTGTTTTTGTATGTGTAATTGATTATGTTACCGAATGTTCAATTTTAAGGATACAGAATTACTGGATTTATAACGAGTTGAGCAGGATAATAATAATAATAATTTTCTAGAGCGCTGAACATTCAATTAGCGAGACTGCTCTGTGGTGCTTTACAAAGCATATAAAGTAGAATATAACAAGTTAAACAAAATTATAAACATACACAAACTTGACGAGTTTCATACACAAAATATACAATAAATTTAATTTTCATAATTAATTTCAAAATATTATGTTTTAACCGTTTCTTGTATTTTTTTGGACCAGCGTAAGCTAATGCTCTTTCTACAAGGCTCGATTTAGGGACAGTACGAACTAACCGGTTACTATTTGATTATAACTATCGTGTTAATAAATTAATTTGGTGGAGAGTGGTCGTTGATACAGTTAAAAGCTATGGTATCTTAAAATTGATCAGGTGTCCAATAGGTAGCCAGTGTTGATCTTTTAAACAGGGTGTTTTATGTTCAGATAGTTTAGCCCTGGTCACAAATTTGGCAGCTTTATTCTGAATTATTCTTAGTTGATCAAGTAGGTATTTTGACAAGAGAGTATAATAACGAGCTACAGTAATTACGAGAGGAAATAAAACATTAATTAGTAATTTGAGGGTATAAAGGTCTATAACTGGTCGAATATTTCTAATGTTGTAACGATGAAAGTTTGCTTTTTTGTTGATATTGGACACATGTATTTCATTTAGTGCAAAAATATACACCAAGGTTGCTAATGCAATAGGTTGGTTTAATATTTGTGTTTCCTATGGCTATGAGATTTAAATTAATGTTGTTCTTGTTGCCCCGTCTTCATTAGCCCAGTTCGGAGCAGAAAAGTAGGATGTTAAACCCCATTTCACTTCTTGTTGCCAATGGTTATACTCTGTTTAATTTTAATTAGTTACAGTGTATTCACAGTCTCACTTCCTTGATATTGGTGTTTGGAGAGAGGTCAAGTCAAGTTCTACATAAAGTTGCGTGTCGTCCGCATAGAGGTGGTAATTGAGGGGTGTTAGCGTGCGCGCGCTGTATCATAAAGTCTGTCACTGAGTCGACTGGCGTGGTTTCGAATCCCCGGTTGTACGTGACAAGGAGTAGGGTCGCCTGTCCAACCTCGTGGGTTTTCTACGGGTCCTCCGGTTTCCTCCCACTGCTAAAGACCCTTATGGGCAAGCGAATTATTGAAATAAAATTAAACCATATGTTAGTCCCGAAATGACCTAGTTTGTGTCGAGTGGACGTTAAACTCCATTTCTCTCTCTCTCTCTCTTCGCGAATGATGATACCAGGAAACCGACACAAATATCGTTTATATATGTTATATACCTTCATACAGAAGTTAAATTGTATTTCAAATTAACCACAGTAAAACGTTATATCTCTTTCATGGAGTCCCGTGGTTGATTCCGGTGTGGGCCGAATCAGTTCATCGTGATTTTCGGAAAAAACAAGGTTCATTTTTATTTCAATACTTCGCTAGCGCGTAGGTGTCTTTAGCATATTGTGGAAGCCGGGGGACTCGGAGAACAACCGCGAAGTTGGACAGACGACCAAAACCTGAACCAAATAAATAACAAATATTACCAAACAATAGCTCTGCGATCATTATCGTGTAGACCTAAACAAATATTACCAGTGAATACATTATCTGATATCCCTGAACAGACTTTTTATATCTGACAGTGATGTTGGTATGTTCAAGAATCGACAGTCCAAATTATTAGAACGGTTTACATTTAACTAACGTTATCAGAACTATCTTATCTAATATTCATCATATGACTTTATCGATTTGACGGTGATGTTGTTATTTTCTAAGACGGGCGAGCTATATATTTCATTAGGGTAATTGGTTAGGCTTTGAAACGGTTTAAAGTTTACAGAAATGTACAACAGGTTTGCACAGTTTCGGGATCTTCTGAGAGTTTTTCATTTTCTATTTGTGGTTACCAAATTAAGTTGTTGTTGTCCCGATTTTTGGTTGGGATTTACGCATGTTTTAGATGATGTGTTACCACATTCAGCTCTAAAAATGGTGTCGATAGATTCGAAAGTTGGGTGTATATTTGTCTGTACTCAGGCAACTCATTGTGTGGCGTTTGCCTTTCATCAACAGAGAAAAGAATGTCATCTTTATACAAAGAATGTGAACGAACTAACTACAGACCCGGACCCAGGAGTCACGGTTTTCTTAGTGATTACCGGTAAGGTTTTATACATGTTGTTGTTTATTACGAATTTTATTTAAACCGGATATAAAGGATATACATATATATTTGTGATTTCTTATATTTTGTCTCGAATAATTCATCATATGTTTGGCGCAATATAGTCCGGTTGGAGCTGATAAAACCACATTTCATTCACCCGTTCATTGTTACGAATTTAACGTCCAATACATATTATAGACATGCTAATTTAATTAAGTTGTTTAAATGAAGGAGTAAAATAAATTGGTTCTTGTATATATGTAAGTGTCATTTAAAACGTGAGAGAGAGAGAGAGAGAGAGAGAGAGAGAGAGAGAAATGGGGTTTAACGTCCACTCGACACAAACTAGGTCATTTCGGGACTAACACATGGTTCAATTTTATTTCAATAAGTCACTTGCGCGTAGGGGTCCTTAGCAGTGGGAGGAAACCGGAGGACCCGGAGAAAACCCACGAGGTTGGACAGGCGACCCTACTCCTTGCCACCTACAACCGGGAATCGAAACTCCGCAAGTTGACTCAATGACAGACCGTATGATATAGCGCGCGCGTGCTAACCATTCGGCCATCCAACCCCCCATTTAAAACGTACTAAAATTCGCTGACATGAGAAGAGAGAGGGGGGGGGCATCTTCTCCCTTGGTCCTAATAAATCCAAGTTTAAACAGCAGGTCCATCTGATTGATGTCTGGTATCATCAATGCGGGAAGCAGAATCCGTTTGCTTTATGCGGAAAAGCAGAGTTATCAAACCGAAAACCACATGATGGACTTTTGGATTGTTTCCAAATCAAAAACTGTCCGTAAGACGATTTTCAATTAAAGTCTGCCCGTGATGTCTATAAGGTTAACATATTTCTAATGTTTTGAAACAGTTCATTTTAAAATCATATACAGCCTGACGGCAATTTAATATATGCCTCGTAGAGGATGACTCTCCCCGGACATTAGTTAGCTGAAAAGTGACAGTAGAACCAGCAACTATTTAAACATTTATAAGGCCAAAACATGATATAAAACAGCATCAAATTTATTCCCTTAAACACTTATATATACTGTTCTCGTTGATTATATTTTTTTTTATAGTGTTTTTGTTGATTACTGAAATATTTTGTTTCGTGAAAGTTCATTATTTTTTTAAGCCTCCTAATGGGCAGTATGATATTAAAGTTCGATATAAGAGTAGGTCGTAAACCCGCTGTCCGGTCAAAATGTTGACCACAGCACACTGCGTGGGGTATGCCCGTCCTTATTAGCCCAGTCGGAGCAGAATAGTGAGATTTAAAACCCCATTTCGTTTCGTTTACCTATATTTGCAGGAGGAAGGAACCTAGCCAGATTACAAATACCATCCACTAGCTCTGTTGGTTCGTTACAACCGCTCCCAGCAGCTTTAGATAACGACCCAAGTACCTGTTTTCAAACACAAAAAGATGATTACCAACCCTGGTTTCTTGTTGATTTGATGGAGACATTTCTAATTCGTTTTATTGTGGTTTACAACGAGGGTGAATATCGTAAGTATAGATATTTTATGTTAGGTCTTGTGCACACAAAGGATTAATGGTTTATAAACGGTATAACACGATACTGGCTATGACGCTATACTGGGTATAACGCGATACTGGGTGTAATATGATACTGGGGTATAACACGATACTGGCTATGACGCTATACTGGGTATAACGCGATACTGGGTGTAACATGATACTGGGGTATAACGCTATACTGGGTGTAACATGATACTGGGTATAAGGCGATACTGGGTGTAACATGATACTGGGTATAACTAGACTATTTATCGTATCTATATTTGGTTTATAATGGTATACCACGTGACTGAGTAAAACACGATCTATCGACTATCTTTATTGTGTGTGTTGTTGTGGAAAGCCACATAATACACACGGCTAATTTTGTGAATTGTAGAAAAAAAAAACAAATTTAAATTACATGGCTTGAAATAGGAGTAAGAATAGGGATCAAAACATTATAAACGTATGAAAAATTGTCAAGGTATTCAATACAAACTTAATGCATAAGTCCTTATTTCTGTAAAACATAAATCCTTTTACTTACAGTCACTCACAAATAAAAGAACGAAAACAGTGTATGCTGAAATTATAGCAGATATATATATATATATATATATATAATTTCGAAATAATTTAGCTGTCTAAACACTAATATGAGTTTCTCTTTGCTCAGTCTACACGAACTTCAATAACGGTTTACTATAACATAACGACACAGCATCGTTGTTCAGAGCAGCATTTCTTTATTTCCAGCTGAACGCCTCCATGACGTTAATTATGAAGTCTACGATTCGGATCCAACAATAAACAACTCTTCAGAAGCCAATTGTTGTGCTTCAGTGGTTGATTACAATACAGGTAAAAACATCATCAGGTGTAATGATGGGGTCCGTGGTAGATTTGTCAAGATTTCTATTGAAAAGTCAAATTTATTAACTCTTTGTGAAGTGGAAATATATGGAATCCCTGGTAAGTATTCACGACTTTTGCTACGAGGATTGTGGGTTTTATAGCTTGGGGTTTCTTTTAGAAGGGTTTGATGGTTGTCTGGTCAGTGATTAAAATTCAAAACCAGAATGTACCATTTATTACCTTGTCCAGAGAGAACCATGGCAGACAATATTGTAATTCAAAACCAAAAATTTCCATTTCATTTATTACCTGGTCCAGCGAGACCCACGACTGACAATATTTCAAGACATGCCGAACTTAGCCAAGGTGTCGATGACTGCTTTGACAAAGAAAGCGTCTTTGAACGAGGGGCTTTCAGATTTATCATGCAAAATTAGTATTTGTGAACTTGTAATATAGCACATCACTTTTTGAGTTAGTCATTATGGTAGCCTACCTATTCATAGTCTCGATCATCCAGAAAAATATTTGTGAACTCGTAATATAGCACATTAATTTTGAGTAATTCATTATGGTAAATGAAATGAAATGTAATGAAATGGGGTTTAACGTCCTACTGTTCTGCTCCAAAGTGGGCTAATGAAGACGGGCACACGCCATACAGTGTGCTATGAGGGAAATTTTGACCGGACACCGGCACTACGGCCTACTCTTATGTGTACACGGGTCCTCGGTTTTTCGTCCAATCCGAACTACTAAACAGCAGTCGTTGTTAGTCTTTCCGTCCTGCATCACTGATAAGGGGGAACAAAATTCATTATGGTAGCCTACCTATTCAATTCAGCATAATTGTTACTTAAACATACATTATGGAAGCGCTAAATCTGCCTGAAATGTTATCCAAATTATTAATTAAACGTTAATTAACATATCCAGACCATAATCAACTCTCGATGCCATCGCTAACCTGTGAAATTTAGCGGATTTGAATACCGTTTTTTAAAAGATAATTAAAAGTAAAAGTGGATAATCGGGGCTTGTTTTTTTATTGTACCGACTTGAGTAATGATGACCGAGGCTAGCCTAAAATTCAAAAGCTAATATCTCGATTCACAGTGGAGCACTTTGACTGAAATATTCACCATATTCTATTTGCATTATCTATTATTTTTAACTATTATAGAGAGAACTGTCAACTCTTTATCTAATGTCCCATAATGCCCCTTTATGTTTACAAATTTTGATCGGTTTTTTTTTGTAAAAAGAAAAAAAAACTTTTTACGGAATTTAAGAATGGCAAACCATGTCCAGCAACTCTTGTTGAGTAATTCATGATGGTAGTCTACCTGTTTAATTCAGAAAGTTGCTGGATTTTTACTGGGTTTCAACATTTTACTACCTTCTTTAAATAAAAATAAATTTTTTCGAAATTTCAAAATGGCGAGAAACTCAGAAGTTAACCCTCCTATTCAATTCAGCATAATGAAGGGTACTAACTAAATTTCAAAATGCCAACTATCTCCAAAAAGGCAAACAACTTACCTTACCCTCTTCGTTGGAGGTAAGGGCTTGCTGTCGATTACATCTAACCTGGATTTGAATATTACAATACCCGTTTTGATAGTTTTTTATTCGGAAATGTTGATTGTGTGCGAGAATTCAAAATGGCGAGGGAAGAAAGAGCTAAATGGGCTTAACGTCCACTCGACACAAACTAGGTCATTTCGTTACTAACAAATGGTTCAATTTTATTTCCATAATTCGCTTGCGCGTAGGGGTCTTTAGCAGTAGGAGGAAAAGGGAGGGCCTGGAGAAAACCCACGAGGTTGGACAGGCGACCCTACTCCTTGCCACGTACAACGGGTGAATCGAAACCACGCCAGTTGACTCAATGGCCCGTTATCATTAGCCCTGTGGAGGAAGGACGTAGGTCGTTAAACCATATGTCACTTCATTAGCCCAGTTCGAAGCAAAACAGTAGGACGTTAAATCTAATTTCATTTCATTTCAAAATTGCGGATAATTTACATTATAAATCATAATATTAATAACTGGTTCATATAATTTATCTTTAAATTGATTTTTAACACCAGGTTTTTGTCTGTAATAACCTCTCTGATCAAGCATATTCTGTATTTATTTCTTTGAATACCTCTCTCCATCGATTAACCATCAGTACTTATTAACAATATTATGTAATTCATTACCCAATTAACAAAGTATTTTTATTGTCCACAATTAAACTTTGTTTTAGTGAATGAAACGAGTGACACCTGTAATCACAGATATGAATGTAGAAAATTACCAGGTAAGACAGACATGTATATAGATATTTAAACGAGTACGTGTTTAAGACTTTTACATGCACATTTTAAGGTGAATACAAGTTTATTAGGATGTCAGTAATTGCAGATCATGATTGTCCAGCTTCCATCTGACTCGAAATCAAGTAAGTGGCCATGGGAATAATACGCTCTATGTAGAGCAAGTCTATCCATAATACAGAGAAACGAATTACAGACTATATTTGATAAATCATTTTTCAGGCGGCGTCAACATTGCTTTAGAACAACCAACCAAACAGAGCTCAACAATTTCGACGACATACACGTCAATAAAGGCCGTGGACGGGATTAAGAGTGGCGAGCATAGGGTGGTTCATAGTTGTCAACACACCAGCGGTGGTGACAACAATCCATGGTGGCAAGTAGATCTGGGTGAGATGTATGATATCACAAGTGTAACTATATCTAACAGATATGATGATAAATCCAGTAAGTCACTAGTTTTCCTCTTTAAACGGTAAGGTTCAAATCTCTCACATTGTTAATGCCAGTTAAAACGAACTTGACCTTCAGATCAAATAATATATCATTGAGTGAGTAACATTATTTAAACCTCCGGGTGTAATATTGGGTAAAAGTTTGAGGGGTGCAATAATAATAATAATAATATTAATGAGGCAACGTATTTAGTTTGCAAAAAAGCTAATCTTCCATAAGTCCCCTAAGCTACAAAGACATATACATAATAAAATAAAACCAAGTACGAACAATCCAAACCATAAGACAGAATTCGAAGTCCTAAAAAACGTTATAGGCAAAATAGTGTATTAAAGCAAAATAGTGTAATCAGCAAATGGACTGCTCCTCGTGTACCAAATACACGACAAACAGTGGTAACAGGTGTCCGGAAGAGTAAGCTTACCCTGCCTGGCGCCACACCCGCCATAGCTGCATCCAAACTATTAGGCGAAATGTCGATAAAATAGCGTGATTGGCCAATGAACTATCAGTATGCAAAATGCACGCGATGAACTGTGTTAACGATGTAGTAGACATTATCAGGGAGAAAGTAATAGTATACGTGTCAATTAAGTATATCTAGAATAATAGCCGAGAGAGACACGTTATATTTACCAATCGAATCAATATGACGGCCATAAAACCTTTTAAAGGTTTTAATAAGTTTAGTGCGTAAGTATCCTTGTAGTTGAAGCTTAGATGACAAATGCCCCAATCTACTTAAAAAATCAGAATAAAAGGAACAAGCTCTCGCGTAACGAATTAGTTGAGACACAAACACTCCATAAGCTGGTGATATTGGAATGTTACTACTAATAAATGGAAAGTTAACAATCGGAAAGTCAAAGTCATCACGTTTATCGTACAATTTAACACTCAGTTTATGGCAATTGTCAAAATCGAGACGCAGATCCAAGTAGGAAGGAAATTGTCACTGTCAGTGGTGTTTTTAATTTCGAGCTCATCAGGATATATGAATTCGACATAATCACTTAATTTAGGATTATTAAGTGATAAAACGTCATCGATATATCGATAAGTGAAATTAAAAAGTCTGACTGATCGTTTACATGTAATATCAGGATAAATTCAAAATCATTTGAAATGCAATAGCATTTTAAAGTGGAAGGTTTGGGAAGTCAATCCCAAACTACAAAACATATACATTATACAAGTAGAATATAGGAAGAACACTGTAATTACACACAAAATAAAATAGAATGCAGTTGCAAGTTAAAAATAATAAGCATGTCATCAGTTGAATATTATGGTTCCTTCAGTGCGCAAAATAAATGAGTTTTCAGTTTAATCTTAAAATTTTCAACATTTTTACACATCTTTATATCAAAAGGCAGATTGTTCCATAAAAGACATGCAGATTTAATGAAAAGTACGTTTCAAGGATTCCGTTTTTCATTTTTGAAGAAAAAGAGATTTACTGGTCTGTGAACGGAGCAAGATATCCGTTTTGGAAACAAGAGATTTTTCAATAAAATAGTAATTTAGATAAAGTGGAGTATTAAATGTAATAACAATCTGCCTGTGGTTCAACTCCTTGCCATCGGTGATGTGCTATAAACTTGGAAAGGCGCACTCTGTCGGTGGTTCAACTCCTTACCATCGGTGATGTGTTATAAACGTAGAGGGGTGCACACTTTCAGTGGTCTAACTCCTTACCGTCAGTGATGTGGTATAAAGGTGGATGGGGGTGCACTTTCAATAGTCCAGCTCCTTACCATCGGTGATCTGATTTACACGTGGAGGGGTGCACAACTGTCAGTGGTTCAACTCCTTGCCAATGGTGATGAGATATACACGTGGGGGGGGGGGGGTGCACCCTGTCAATAGTCCAGCTCCTTACCATCGGTGATGGATATAAACTGAGACCATTTAGCAACTTAAAGTACGGTTACACGTTCATTTCAATTACATCTTCACGCGATTCTAATATTCCATGTATTATATTGGCAGGTTATCAATTATTTGACATAATGGTACGCTAACATCATAGTATACCGCCACATCGGTAATTGAATAGTAAGTAAGGATGAAAGACGACACAAACCCCCTTTATTCCTAATTGCTCTGGTATCTCTTTCAGTTGTTGGGGAAAGGTTCTCTGATGTGAGTGTAATGGTGTATGATTCAGATCCATCTGTCGGTAATCCAACTTCTACACTGTGTAAATTTATACCTGGAGTTTTTGGATGTACCGTGAGAACTTTAGAATGTGATGAGAAAACAGTCGGCAGATTTATCAGGATAACCAAACCAACAGAATATCTGAATATTTGTGAAGTCGAAGTGACAGGTATAAAACAGTAAAGAATTGACTGTCAAAGGGAGAGTACTGGGAGCAGAAAATTTTCTGATCGCATATTCTGAAATATTTATTCATAACACGTATCTAATTCTAAATATGGAAATTTTATGACCTTGTACCAAATTAAACTACTTGTATTCGACTTAAAGTTTATTAAGGAAACTTTTAAAGTGAATGATTTGTATTGCTGTAGGCCCTTAAACCTAGACTTGAATCTTAGCCCGTCACTGTCTGGAGCAAAATGTATACATGAATGAAAATTTATTAAAGCCTATGAGCCCCACATTGCTCTTGATATATAGGTTTTCTCGATGGTTAAGAGGGTAAGACGCTGGCTCGCTAGCCTGAGGGTCGGGTGTTTGAGAAATATCATCCAGATTTTCCGACGTGGTTCCACTTTGTCAGTGATGCAGGACGGGGGGGGGGGGGGCTGACAAGGACAGTTGCCTAGTCCTTCGGTGGGGCGAAAAACCGAAGGAAGTCCCGTGAACACATTGGCTTACACGTAATAGATCCCTTGACTGTCCGGGCAAAATGTCCCTCATAGTACACTGTATGGCGTATGTCCGGGGCAGAACAGTATAACAGTGGGACGTTAAACCCCATTTCATTTCATCCCGTTGTATTATTATTCAATGGGTCAATTCAAGTGTAGCACTAGTGTAAGACTGTGCAAACTCAATCTCAACCCCCCCCCCCTCCTGTATTTGAAATCAATGTGTGTTAAGGTCTGCGGTGTTGAGGTTGTGTTAAACATGAATATATTTACACAACATGAACACCAGTGTCGTATCTGTGTTACCCAAATACTAAATTATACCTGAGCCCCTTAGTTTGTCAATATTTTCAATATCAATTTCCCGATTTAAGAAACAAATTTACATGAAACAAAATATAAAGACAGGGAGCTTTGTGCAATATTATGTCTAATTACATAAAAAAAAACTTGTTAGATAATAATAGCTTTATAAAAGTTATTATCTTGTTAAAAATGACTCTAACACTAACCCCTAGATGCGGTCCGAGAAAGCCACTCGCCTATTTTTGTTACAAATGTAGTTATTAGAAAACGTTAACGCAGATTTACCTTGGTCAGTGCAAGTTATTGCAATCAAATGTTACAATTAATGTAATCTGGAGTTCACCCAGATGAATTTAATTCCTTTAAATTCACATGCGTATTGAAATATCCCCAGACATCTTTGCTCTCACCAATCCGAAAGAGTGCATGGATATACGTTAACGCGAAGGCAATTAGAAATTCACTTCCCAAAATACAGATCATAAAAAAAAATAATATCCGAACAAATGTCGCGCATAAGGCACAGCGACTACTCTAGGGCCGTCGACATTAAGTATAGACACTTAATAGAATAATGCATTCCTGTCGTATAATGGACATAATTCAAATGATTTCTATACACTTCAATGAACTACCATATGTCGATAAAATTAAATAAAATGAAGTCCGGTAGGTCCAGGAAATGTCCAAAATCAATATTTAACTTAAACATGCATTATGCAAGAGCTAAATCGAACAGGCCCTTCTTTTGGCCTGAAATGTTACTTAAACTATTAATTAGACATTTATTAACAAAACAACCCATAATTAACTCTCGATGTCTTCTGCTGTGTCCAGTTTTTCAGATTCGAATCCGATCGGTGGTTCGACGGCCGTTGATGATTAACCATAAAAATGGTAACAATGACAATCGAGGCTACCGTGTTATTGTATCGCCGATATCTCGGCTTAGAGTGTAGTAACTTGACAGAAATTTTCAGCATACCCCCTTTTCATTATATATTTTTTTAACTATTGTAGCGAGAACTGTCAGCTCTTTATTTAACCTTCCGTAATGTCGCTTTACTAATGATTTTAAAGCCCTATTCGGTTGCTTTTTTTCACGTATATGCAATATGTACATCCACGTAATATATGAATGAAATGAAGTTTATTTTTGGACACCTCGGTTCCAACCGGGATATAATGGAGTATGGTACGCCAGCTCCAAACATGTGCTTCCATGTTTATAATTGGGGGCTCACTTATCAGGAGGTCAGTGGTGCTGGACCGAGGACTCGGCGCGGAACAGCGTCAAATCGTTGTACAATTTGGTATGTACGTAAAAGATACCTTGAATTCGACGAAGAGTATGTGTAGTCCCTCATGTCGGTCTTCTGTAACCCGGTTGCAGCAGAAAAGTAGGACGTTAAACCCTAGTTCATGGTGGCTAAGGGATTAAGACGGTGGCTTAGTCAGTAAGATGTCCAGACCCCTCCCCCCCCCCGTACTTCCACCCCCAACTGGACATTATGCAATTTAAAATTCCCCGAAATTAAAGTTACATACAAGCACATAATGCTAGAACCAAGTGAAATAAAATAAAACCAAGTACGAACAATCCAAACCATTAGACAAAATTCGAAGTCCTAAAAAAACGGTATAGGCAAAATAATTGTAATCAGTGAAAATTAGATAAGCTCATGTAGCCGATGTAAGTGTATATAACGATTGTCTTATTGCCACTTTAATATCTTTTGTTTCAAAACCCGGTCGCAATATTTTTTTGGTTTTGTTCAGAAACAATGGGTTGCTGTGCTTCCTCATTGCTAAATACGAAATGCGTTCAATTCATATTGTAAAGGAAAAGCAACGTAAATATTGTTGTATTTATGATTTGATTTCAACATGAAAATCTATACTAATATTTGTGACCGTCGTTTATCTGTCTGTTTGTCTGTGCGGGGTTGGCGGCTACACTAGGTCTGCCCCGAGTCTGAAATTTGAGGTATAGGGGTAGCTTGGACCGGGGAGTAACATAGGCCAGGTGGCGTTAGTCTACCACTTCCGGTTTCGGGGTTATGACCCCCGAGCGAAGCCGGGCATTCTTCTAGTCACATATAATAGGAAAAGAAATGAAATAAGCTTAAACTTCCTACTGTACTGTTCCGACGTTATGCTTTTGTTAAAATATAATACTTATTTCTAACATTCTGTAGATTATTTGGTCTTTTGTTTCTTTAGACCCAATCTTCAATCGATTGAAATATTATTTGAATGAAATAGTGTTCGATGAATAGGACTCAGATTCCGTTTTGAGAAATGCTCAACTGTGCTTTTATAGTAAACGTAGAACACGGACATACAAAATCAATAAGAACAGCAGTTCTAAATAGATTACATTGTATCCTTACAAAAAGAGAAAAGCGAAAAAAAAAACACTAAAGAGTAGACTAAAAACATTAATTTAGAACTTTAATTATAAAATAAATATTTCCGTTTGCTAATAACTAGCTGGTATTGATTGATTCTTTATGAACTGGGAAAAACGAACTCAATGTGTACAATAAACAATTATGTTTTATAAAATAGATTTTAAAAGCTGTTTTTCTGTTTTCCCTACTAAAGTGTAACGCAAACATATTGGAGTGAACTCATTCACATGGTTTAAATGAATCTAAAGCCTCGTTCACATGGTGTCAATGAATCTAAAGCCTCGTTCACATGGTGTCAATGAATCTAAAGCCTCGTTCACATGATGTCAATGCATCCAAATCTCTGTGCACATGGTGTCAATGCATCTAAATCTCTGTTCACGTGGTTTCAATGTATCTAAATCTCTGTACCCATTTTTACACCACTGATGTGCCTGTTGTGGTTAAGTCATATAATGGTAAATATTCCTTATTCGTAAATAACATTTATCAAATCTTTGAAAGCACGCAAAATGCCCCTGGCTGTTGTTACACAATTTGCAGAGGTTATGGACAAGTTATCGTGCCATCTTGACATATTAAAGTGGAATTGATTCAAATATCTGTATGTCGGCTATTGACACCCATTAGTCATTACCATAATATAAACGTATTGCTGACCATTTTTATGTAATGTCCGTTGTCTTGTAAAGCCATCTGTAATGGCCGTTTAAAGTGCTATGATGCAATATAGCCAGCTGCATAATATCTTCGATCATCTTTTGTCTAGAAAGAGATTATAAAGCAGAGATCTAATTGATAGAAGTTAACTTGGGATCAGGCAGGTCTCCAGTTAAGATCAGACAGCGGTCATGTAAGTGAATTGGGATTTGGCACCCTGTGCCAGGAGCCAAGCTAGGACCATAACTCCCTAAACACAAACATTTTACGGGGCCTTCAACTATAAGAAGTTTTGTACTTGATATGTTTGAAGAACAATTAAAGTATTCTATGAAGTTTAAAACAATGTTGTCATCCAGAACAGATTCAAAGAACGAATACCACTGTGGATTAACGGATACATTATTAATCAGCAATACATAACTGTGAGGGTGCTCGTTTTTTTTTTTCAAACCAAACGAGATGAAAATTACCTAATACATGAGCCAACATAACTGTGTATTTATGATGTATTCTGCTATATAAATATGTGTAAATTTACCAAGATGCTAATATACTTCTGTACCTGTGTAAATTTACTCCAGATTTATTTTATGGATGGGTATCAAAATACAAAGTTAGACCGCCGTGTCTTGATGCCTGATCAGCACACATTTCAGTTCATCACAATATATTAATTCATTTTTTATCCTATAGTTGCAATCATTAATTTCAGTAACAAGTATATATATACACCCATGTGGACGGCGTTTTAGCGTAATTTTATGACGTATTTGCCACGTACTATTTAATCAAAATGAGTAGAACGAGTTATATCTTCTCTGTTATCTGGGTTTATTGGCTCGCTATTGTTTTGAAAAATACAACTTGTCATTCTATTTACTCATTTGTGCATGAATGTTTGTTAACATTCTTCAGACTTTCAATGAAATTTTCTGACAAGTTCGCCATTAGAGAGATTCTAATCAAAGACGCATTTGCTGGATCGTAAATGTATACATAACTCTAAATGGAAGCAATATTAAATAGTACATACTTAACATAACACAAATATATA